TATCTAGCTATTCAGTCCATTACAAAGTTACCCAATTTCTTCTACACTAACGGTATCAGATTCTTCAGATTCGAACGGTGTTATTTCAAGCCATAGTTTATGTTTGGTATAGTCAGATCAGCCAATGCACTGGCGACATTGAAAAAATAGTTTATTGCATTGATGATTGATAATATTATAAACTATTTTTAAACGCATGACAGCTGCCGTGTTATGTACCGCGACGATTTTATGCGATCGTACCTATCATTAACTTTTTTTTTGACGGTGACCAATGACGGATACCAGAAACTGGCGGTAAATCGAGTTTCTACTACTACAGCAGTTGTACTTAATATTRTGATACCCATTGGCTACCACCTTTTTAATTTTTAAAGTTATTAATACAAAATATTAATGATTCAAGTTTTAAGGGTAGGGTCACTCATGGCGGCTGAGCCACAGTGGTTGAACCGCCTAACAAATTTAAATTGTTTGATTTTAATTGAAACCACCTGATACGCCATACGCATTCACACTTTCGCGGTTCAGCCGCAGAAACGCCAGAAACAGTCGCGGTTGAAAAATCGACCGCAACTGCGAGCGGTTCGACCGCCTGAATGATCAAAACACATTGTTTTGAATTAGTCYGTTCACACATATTTGACGTGGTTCGTTTKTTCAAAGTTTAAATATAAAAAATAATTCCAATTGTGAGGCTTAAAGTTGTTGGTAACTTTTATCTCATTTTGAAACTTTGAATAATATAATCATAATATTATGTAGTAGTCATCAAGGAAAAAMCTAGATAGGTAAATATTATATTGCTACATAAATGAATAAAATATATATATATGTATACAAATACAATGGATGACATATTGAAGATKAAAAATTATGTATGGGATGGGGTGTTCTTTAGAAGGTACATACTTTAAAATTATGTTTATAAGCAAATGCGATCTAAGGTCACRAATAGTTCATTTGAACCCAATTATAATTTTAATCAACTCCGGGGACTGGAAATACGTAAGGTAAGTAGGTAATATTAATATAAAATTTAAAAATCCTCACATAATAATACAGTTGAAGATATTCTTTTAATAAATTTTTCATTACAATCATTTCAACTATAATTTATGATATTGTTATGAAGTTACATGAAGTATATATTAATATAATAATATATAATAATACATATTTATATTATCTATGTTACCTATATGACTAATTGTTTAATTTTGTTAGGTATGTATATAATTMATTGATTTTAATTAATTTTGGGACATCAAAAATGTATACCTACCTACTATTGTATTTAACTGTTATTATTACTATGAAATATTAGTTATTTCTATATTAGCTATGGATTACCTATAGACATTTTATTTTTACATCTAAGTCGTTTTTAGTAAGTTTACTTGGTTATTTCGTGTTGAAGACACTCAGACGACTAAATTTTATAATATTCTAATAACTTTTCATTTATCAAATAAATATTTTTGGTATAACTGCWCGCGATTTGGCCGTGTTTATGTGCAAGATATCCGAGTGGTTGAACCACAGGTCCAATCGCTGCGAGCCTGCGACTCAACCGCTATGTGTGGCCCGACCCTATAAAGGTCTATATAAATATCTAAGGTACCTAATTACTGAGGAATTTATAGTTAGGTTTATATCTTAGTTTGTGGTTGAGACTTTGAGTTTAAATTTATAAACTCAATATCCAAAAGTTTCGAATTAAGAAATAATGTCATCAGCAATACCACTTTTTAAAAATAAATATCTTGTAACGATCTTATTTATTATAATTGAATGAATAACATAAGGTGTTAGCATTGATTGTTCATAATGAAAACAATAAAATAAATACATTGCTCTGTAATTCAACAACAGACATTAAACAATCATAAGACACATTTTAATGTTAGGTAAAAAATATATAAAATATTTAAATTATAAAACTATACATAATCAAGCTTCGGAGATATATTCAATAGCTATTCTTACTCAAAATTCTAAATATCAAAGTAAAGACTTTGATTGATTTTAACTTTTAATGAGTAGACTGAAAAAGAATTATTCATAAATATATGGACACAATTAGGATAAAATGTATAGAAATCAGGGGCGTCATTTCAACTTTTTGAAACAAATATTAACAAGAAGGCAGGCCAAAAAAATTTTTAGCAGTCTAGTATAATATAGATTAAAGCTATAACAAAAAATTTTTCTCGCTATGCTCGACAATTTTATCTTTTATAAATCTAATGATTCAATTTAATATCAATATCGTACACTCACAACCATATTTCACTATTGCATTATTTAATATGATAATTAATATTACATAAATATATTAATAATGAATTATTCATCAATTGAATTTTGAGCATATTGTATTTTGTGACATAGTGATCAGCCGCACTACTTATTTGTTTGGATTTGCTATAAATAGGTTAAAAACCCAACGTAACATATTAACTAACCTACTACACTTAGTACCTACTGCAGCTTATGGCTATAGATGATAGATGCCAATGTTTGAGACCAATCATATATAAAAAAAAAGGATAATATTTTCCCAGCGTAGAAAAATTATAGCCAGGTCCAAATGCATCTTAATAAATTTTAGGTATGCATTGCCATACTCTGCAATACCCCAAATGATGCCTCCTGATAGAAATACTAATCCTAAAGCACAACATGAGAACTCCTCTTTCTTATTTATATAACAAGAAAAATTATTAAACACTAAAAATTGTGGTTTCAAAAAGGTCATAACTTGCTTCTTTGTAAAAATATAAATAAAAGCCCTGAGAGATGCCTAAGATGATAAATAATAATCTTATCTTTAAATTTTATAAAAGGTCAATATACTTTTATTTTTGATTTTATAGAATAAAATGTATAATTGAGAACATAAAATTTGGTATGATGTGTCATAGTTTTATGTGCAGCCTTGGTTAGGAATTCAGAAGAAATATTTAAAAATAAAACCTACTGATTCCATATAATATGTGTGCAATTATGTACTCAAGACAATTTGRGAATGTTATGATGCACTCTCTAGTCACCTCTCACACCACTAGTTGTGACYATGCATATATTACAGTATTTTCTAATAATATATCACTTTATTCAGTGTTTTATTTTTACTCGAACATAAATTTAATTTGTTAACTTATGAATTTAAACACAAAATATGTATATAAAAAAAAAAATGTGCTTTAAAATTTTAAAATAACATAATTATAATAATTAGTTTTCYTTAAGTACACAAGATGTTGACATAACAAATAACAATTTACATTTAACAGTTTTAAGTACTTTAGAAAACATCTTGTATATCATATCATCACAACAATATTAGTATAATAATTTTCGTATAATTGACTTAATATTAATTATACAAACTAGTATATATACATATAAAACAATAAATTCATTAAGACTATATAACATAATATTAAAAACACATACTGGTTATTTTATGATAACTATAATTGTTTAGGTATGCATTAATACAACAATGATGTACAAATCTCGTTGTTAAAATATTTTATGGTAATTAAATACATATAAGATAAAAGTATRAAACATAAGTTAAAATTAMTAAATAAAATTATGTTTTAATATAATTATCAAGCTGAAATAACCTGTTAAGATTTAAATGCTATTGTGTATATAATTAACATATTTTAACAATACTGAAGTATAGGCTTTTTTTTATAGTTGTGTGATAAGCTAATTTTTTTTAGTATAGTAAAAAATTATATTCTTGAATTGTTTTGTTGAAAAAATAAACGTTTCTAAAATTACAATTTTAAGCGGATGATACATGAGTGATCTATTGATCTTTAATAGATTTATGGTAYATATGATTTATCACGATGGTTCATTGTTGTTACGAAATGCAACCATAATTAATTTTTTTGACATTTAAAAATAAAAAAGTAGGATTTAAAAAAAATAAATTAGTTATTAACAGTAGAAGAAACTATAGTTTATTCGATTCCATGAGCAAAAATCATAATGAGACCGGGTTCAGACATCATATCGTCACTAACCATAATATTATCACAAGGTAAAACAATAACYGCTTGTTTTCCAGGTATACGCTTGCAATTGTATCGGTCATAGTGCCTTCTGTTGTGTTGTCTTGTTTCAAGGCTTGACAGTCCAGATGGCCAATTGCGTTCATGACAGTTTTTAACRAGATCATCTAGGATATGAGCTGGACAACCACTCTCAATAAGTGCTTGTTTTATGTTGTTCTAAATAGAAAAAATATTTTTAAAAAATGAAACTAAAAATATACAAYAGTTTTGGTTTTTGTACACCTATTATAATAATAGGCCCACAATAATAATAAATATTACATACTTGAAGGTATTCGTCAGGTGTAGAAATCATTCCTCCCCAACGAGTAACTCTAGCTTGAGGAAGAGAACTTGACCAGCGTTCAATTTCATCTCTTTCTAACTCATCGGCTACAGCCCTTACACTTGGATTGCATACACGCAAGGCTCGCACATAACCCTGTATATAAAAATTTAAATTTAAAAAACATGTTCTAGATTTTGATTTTTTTTTTTTAAATAGATAACCTTTAATGATTGCCATATTTTAAATATTAATTGTATAGGACAGCATAAAAAGTGAAAGATTGACATGCACAACTGGCTCAACATAGTATACTATTCACACTGACGACTGACTGATAATTAGATAATTAGAGTAGTTTAATTACAATATATAATCAAATAATATTTTTATGATAAAAAATATCATATTATCATATAAGTTCAAATCATTTTGTTCAAGTAACGGAATTTTTTATCTAAAACTATAAAAGAGTTTCAATGAGTCATTTATTGTCCATAAAACAATAAAAATAAGACTTTTAGTAATTAGGGATAGTATGAGATAAGTACAAATTAATCTATCTGTTTATCATGTTTTATTTATTTAAGCAATAATATCATTGACCAGTAGGTAATATATTAAATTGCTAAAACACTAACTAATTATTAGGTCAAGCAATAATAAATGATAATAAATTCTTCTAAGATAAACTGAAACCATACATTATTTTCATCATTTAAAACATGATAATTATCATTATCTGAATATTAATAATACTAMATTACTAGAGTGCTCAATCGAGTTTSTTTATAGTGATTTTTTTTGATATACAACTGAGTATAAATAGTAAAATACTCCCTATTTTGAATTTTTTTTTATTTTAATACCTAGTTGACAAATTACATTTTTTATAAAAAAATAAGAGATTAATCTACCCATTTAATAACACAAATGGAAATTTGATCCCTTAACATCAACCTATAGTATAGACACTTAAATCTGATTTTTAATTACGAATTTTTTTATTCAATAATCCAATTTATTAGAATTGTTCTATTTTCTTTAAACGGAAATAAATATAATTCATAATAGTCTAATAGCTCATAGCCAATGGCAGTATGATACAAAAATACGATTTCAGATAAATGTATAGATACCCCATTAATTATTATACATTTAATTATATAAATATATAATATACATATGAATAATAAATCACAGTAGCCTGTGGGTAAAAAAGAAAAATTACGATTGGAACACATAAAACATAATATCGTAATATTAATATTAAATTAAAATTTCAGCTACAGTAGCCGTG